TTTTTCTTCCAGTCCTTGTCTTTCTCTGCAACACACCACTGGTACTTCAGAGGCAGCAGGAGGTGAAAGAATTGGGCCAAGATCATGGGCCAAGATCATAGGTTGTTATTGGTCATGCCCCCGTCGTCCCGATAGCTAGGCAATTAGCATTTGAATTAGCCCACAGGTCATTAGCTATCAATTCTTCTTTAAACTTTTTAAAGGATTGATTAACAGTGCCATGTCTGGAATTCAATAAAAGCCACTAAGAAAGATGTGCTGAGAAAAATCAGAGAACATTTTTTATTTCTTTCTGCATGATTTTCTAGTCATAATACCATGATATTTGAATAAAACTAAATGTCTGATAGTTCAAGAGGAAGAAATCCCAGTTCAAGTAATGTCTTCAGAAAAGGAATTAAATTATCTTCTCTCTGAGCATACTTAATTTTCACCTTATGCTTAAGACCCAAGCTGCAAGAATATACATACTGATGTCTTATGTGCTCTACTGAGCAAGTTGCATTGATAATCCTGATTTGTGCATTCAAATTCATATACTGAAAATTAAAATGCCTTTTTCATTTTGCAAAGAATGTGGCAGGACTAATTATTTTCATGCATCTGGATGACCTGCTTCAAATGCCTCTTTAATCAGCTTAATTTAGCATACTTTACATTTGCCTTTTATATTCAGCCTCATTTGTATTGCCACATTACACTTTGAATGATACAATTACTTCTGTACTAAAGGCTCCAGAGCTTTGATTATTTGAGGGGCATAGACCAGAATGGGATTAATGACAGGTGTGAAGGTAAGAGGACATTACTGCATTGGCAAGAATCAGAAAGTCTTCCATGACATCACTGAGTGTTTTGTGGCATTCTTCTTTGCTCCTTCCTCCCCTTCCTCTTTTAATGTCAAACTATATAGATACATGATGAGGCAACAGATGATTTCTTGAGGTCCCTGACTTGGCTCCTCATATTTATTGATGAAGTTCTAGCCAGAGACTTCCAGCTTTTAAAATCGATTTTACCAAAATAGTTGGGGAAGATCTGATAAAACAAAAAAAAACCCCAAGGAAATAATTTTTTTGTGGTTTGTCAGGGTTAAATCCCAGCCAGCAGCTAAGCACCATGCAACTTCTCACTCAGATCATCACCCTCCCCTTCTACTGGTGACATGGGGAGGAGAATCAGACAGAAGTTAAACCTGTGTGTTAAGAACAATTCAATAATTGAAATAAACTATAATAAAAACAAAATAATATTATTCATAACAACTAATAATAATTCTGAAAAGAAAAAGAGAATAAAGCCCAGGAGAAACAAGGGCTGCACAACACGATTTCTCACCAGCCACTGCCCAATGCCCATTCCGTCCCTGAGCAGTGATCAGCCCCTCCTGGCCAACTCTCCCAGTTCATTTACTGGGCAGGACACTCTGTGGGGTTTGGAGTATCCCTTTGGCCAGTCTGGGTCAGCTGTCCTGGCTGTGCTCCCTCCCAGCTCCTTGTGCACCTGCTGGCTGGCAGAGCACGGGAAACTGAAAAGTCCTTGGCTTCGGGTGAGCACTAATAGCAACAACTAAAACATCAGTGTGTTATCAACATTATTCTCATTCTGAATCCAAAACACAGCACTCTACCAGCTACTGGTAAGAAAATTAACTCTGTAATCATTGAGACCAGATAATGGTTAGGGAATTTGTTGACATATATCTGATATTTTTAGGTTACTATAAGATTATTTTTCCAGCATTGTCTGTCATGACATTATCTGTATTTACTGGCCTACTCTTTCATACTATCTTGTGTAGTATTAATGGGAGGGAGAGGGCAGTTAGCCATTACAACTTTGGCAACTAACCAATACATTAATAGAGATTATGAAAGCTGTGGGAAATTGCTTATTTCCTACCTTGTTCCAGAGAGGGGATTACAAGAATGGAAACTCTCCAAAGACAGCAAAGCTGAGCCTCAAAAAACAGCTGTTGAGAGGAAAGTTAAGAAGAGATGTGGGAAATTTTGGGTAGCAGAAGGAGCAGAATATGCTTCCATAGACAAACTATAGTGGAGTAATCTGATATGATGACAAGCTTTGATCTGATCAGGGAAAGGGACCAGCATGAAGAAGACTCTACTATTCTAGAGGAAAAGAAAAGATGAAGGAGGATCCTAGAAAAGTTTACAACACATTAGTTCCTTGGCCCAAAGGGTCTTTTAGAGAAGTCAAGAAAATCCACCCGGATCGGGTACTGAGGATTAGTTAATTTTCATCTCTGTTGCAGTACTTTCTATATTGTAAAGTCAACATTATGCATGATGCTAAATGATCCTTCCTTCCTTCCTTCCTTCCTTCCTTCCTTCCTTCCTTCCTTCCTTCCGCCACTTCCGCCACTTCCGCCACTTCCGCCACTTCCGCCACTTCCGCCACTTCCGCCACTTCCACCACTTCCTTACGCCATTTCCGCCAATTCCTTCCAGATGAATACTCAGAGCAGTTTTAAGGCACTTTCTTGAATAGATCAATTTTAATGGAACTATTTAAAAACTAAGTAGATTATTTAAAAGGACTAATTTATGGCAGCCTTCTGCAGAGTTTTACTGAGATAAACACAGATCAAAGAAATAATTATAAACACATACCTCTTCTTATTTAGCATTTGGGTGCACATGTTTTGAAGTTCTCATTCTTTGAAGCTCTTTCATTTAACAGGGAATGGATCTGCATGGGCAGAACAGTGCACTATGTAAGGGCCAGCTGGCACTGTCCTGTAGCCATCACAGAAATGTCTCCAGCCTCCTTCTACAAAGCTCCATAACCAGGTCTGGTCAGTGTGGGAAGTCAGAAACCTTCAGAGTAACGATGCTGGCTTGAACTACAAATACCATTAATCTGGAGAGAATCAAATCCTCTAATCTCTTTTAAATCTGTTTTTAATCTCTGTATATTTTGAACACTGCTTCTTATAAGTTTTGAATCAAGTGATGCTTTTTTGTCAGTCTCCGGATTCACTATTTAGCAGGCTCAGAGGGTCTTGTACCACATGGGTGGGGCTAGGCACTTCTCCTCCTGTCTCTCACCTCAGGTGCCATGGCAGATGTCTGTATCAAAGGCTCACTTTATGAAACCTTGATCCTGCTTCTTTTTGTAGTCAAGAAATATAACTGCCCTCAAAACCCCTCCTCATTACTTATGTCTCCTAATTGTTTTTTCCTCCACAAATACAGGGTTTGGCTTTTTATTTTTTTTCTGGTTCATGAGGATAAAATGTGCTTCCCAGGAATAATTGGCCTGATTGCCCTTTCTTGCAAAAATACACTGGAAATCCTCTGAAGGTTTCTCTGGAATACTTTTTAAATTTTGGAAACCCTACTCCAACACGATGCTATTGCATGACATGACACCAATAATTTACAGGTCCTTTTCCCTCTTTTTCCACCCTTAGGGATGACTGTCCCAACTAATACTTTTGTTAACAGGCAAAAATACTAAGTAAACTCATTTTCTTATCTTTAGTCCAGGACATGAAGTTTAATGCCAAGGGAAGATAAGGAAGAAAAATTTAGTAAGCTGCTTTTGGTTTTGCTAGGGTGGCTAGTTTCACATGAAGAATCAGCAACAGTGCTAATTCATAGGGCAGCAAATTTTAGCTGATGTCAGTGAAATAAATGGTGCAGGTGATGCCAGCTTTGTGCCCTTTGGCACTCATCATTGATCGGATGGACCAGGCCATGTGATATCCACTGGTTTCAGATTATGCCTGTACATAGGTAGTCTTTCTATGCTGACAGTGTTTTACAAAAGGAAGAAAGATGAAGGGAAAAGCAAAGGATTTTGTATGGACTGGAAAAAGTAGATGTAAAAATGTAGGGCTAGATCATCCCATGGGCACAGCATTATGGCTCAGGGACCAGGGAGAGCCCTGGATTTCTCTTGAATCCCTTGGGGAGAGCAAATGGCAAATGCATGCAGGTATGTAGTTGCTGGTCTGATTCCTTCCAGTGCCCAACAGGCAGCGGTCAAGAGATGGAGATAAGAAAGGATGGCATGTAAATTCTTGGCATAAATTTTGAGGGAGAACTATTTTCTCATTTTTTGTGACACATCCATCCTTTTGTCAGAGACTTAAATATTGAACCTGAACCTAATGCCATTTCCTTTACTGGGGTCACTGCAGCCAGCAGCTCATCATGTGAAGTGCATGATAAACACTACTCACTGTAGCTGAGGTTATATTGTTACCACCT